GGATATTTAGACACAGATATTCAGGGTCAGATCCTCAATGCCTTATTGCTGCTTTACCTACTTTTCCCTATTAGATGGTAAACTCCAAACAGACAGCACTCGTTTTCAGCCTCCTTTGCTCTCTGGGGTGGTAAAACACAAAGGTGACTTGCTTATAAGCATTATTTTTAGGTGGAATGTTTTTAGATGGGGTACACATTTCCATCACCACGGTGCATTTATAGTGCCAAGAATGCTTCCTCTGTTGACAGGTCTGGCCTCGAGTATACCTGGAATTGGTAGGCACACAGCATCCCAGGCCAGAGTAGGCCTCAGTGGATATTTATAAGAGCACTGGAGAGCTGAGTCTTGTTTCAGGTTGTGTAAGGCACAAAAGGAAATGGGAGTCCATGTTTCTTCACTTGGCTGCTTCTTTCTAACCATGGTCCCAAGACTTCCTTCCATTTGCAGGTTTCCTAGATGCTTGGTAAACTTCACTACATCCCAAGGAGACTGTCACCCTCTAGAGGACAGGATCTGGTGTCTCCTCCTTTCTTTTTCTCTTCCTCTTGCCCAACTCTCCCTTCTGCCCTCCCCCAAAATTCCACCACTTACTTGCATGATCGTTTAGACTACAGTCTGCTAGGAAAGTGTGCTCATAAGGATTCTAATCTTTCAGGCAGGAGCTCTCTGTTCCTGGAAAATCAAGTATTATAGGAAGCAGAGAAATGCCCAGTTTTAGGGAGATGAAGGTCCAGAGCCTGGGAAACTGTGAGCGGCGATTGAGAAGGCAGGCTGGGACCTGATAGGGGCCTCCAGGTCATGCTGGAGTGTGATCCCTTCCTAAGTCATTGGGGTGTGGCATGATCATGAGCACGTGTGTTTCCTACTATTCCCTTTCCCCTCACACACAAAGCAGTGTCCAGTGTCACACTCCCGGGCCTGACTGACAGCCTCTCCTGATTGGATGGCGGCATGTGGCCAGTGTCTGAGAGGGGCTGGGCAGAGCTGCAGACACCCGCCTTTCACCCCACTCCCCACCGGCTGTGCTGAAACAGGCTCGCCAATTTAAGGTAGTTGGACTAGATCGGGTGGAGACTAGTAGGGCTCAGAGGATTAGACATCAGCACTCTTGAATGAAGCACATTCCATAGTCAAGTAAACAGGGTGTGGTGAATGTAGGCCCAGCCCAACCCTTTCACAGAGGGGTGGGTACAGTGCTCCAGTCCTAAAATCAGGCTGTCTGCCCAACCGTGTCTGGCACTCCTGCCCAGCTGTGCCTTCTGGAAGACCTGCACAGCACCTCCTCTCTGTCCAAGTGTCTTTCCCCATGCAGAGAGAGGTAAAGAGGAGGTCCATCCGGACAGGGAAGCTGGCTCCTGTTAGGTCAAAGAAGACAGATAGCAAAACCAACAAGCTAACCAATCTCAAGAAAATTTAAAGTGAAAGTTTGATAGCCTCCAGCGACCATATACCTGGGTCCTAAGTCCAGGCGTAGCTGCCAGCCAGAGTTGTTTAGGATTATACAGAGCACTGGGTTTGGGAGATACGGGTAAGTGTGATCAGGCCAAAAGGGATAAACCAGGGTTGCCTGGTACATTGAGCGAGGTTCTGTTTTCCTATGTTAAGTTTCTGTTTCTCTAAAATGGCATCACCTGGTCAAGGCTGAGTTAAATTCTATTTTTCTAAGTTAGGCTTTTATCTATCAGAGATGACATGGCTGTCTGCTTGGAAGGGGTGCTGCCTTCTCCCCACTCTGGGAGGGGAGAACCTGGGCTAACCTGGGCTCCAAGTCTGCCTCCTAAGAACAGGGCTCCTAGAATCATCTGCTTTATTGCTCAGGGCTGGGGACAGCCTTGGAGCAAGTGCTGCAGGCCTCTGGAACATATGTAGAAGAACCTGGCGTCATGGAAAGTAGCCCCAACTATGAACTTTATTTGCCATCATTTTGCTGAAAATAAAAGTAACATATATTCACTGTAAAATAAAAAAGTTTTAAAAATTCCAAGTGAACATTTAAAAATCATCCACGATACTTGTTCAAAAAGATAATTTGGGGGGTGCTCACAGGGATCAAACTACGGCCTGTGAGATTGCCAGGCAGGCAGCGGAAAAATCCCCAGCACCATAAAAAGGTAATTTTTTTCTAGTGTTTTTCTTCTCAAGGGCATATTTTAAAAGCTGGAAATATATTTTGTGTATAATTGCATCAAACTATTTTTGAAGTTCTTTGTATCCTTTTAACTTATCATGAGTACAACCCTATTTCATGAATTATCCTTTAGTAATCAAATTTTAGTGGCTTGAACCTAATAATATCTCATACAGTCGGTTGATGATAAAACCAAAGGTAGAAACTTGGGTGAAGGATCCCGAGGGAGCCACTTCATTTCCTGCTGTGTTTAGGACTCAACTCCACCCTAAGTCTTCTAGGAAGCCCACCTTGGATTGAGCCATCTAGGGTGCTCACACAGCACTTACCACAGCACTCGCCACAGTTACTACACAGATGTCTTTATATTTTTAGTCTCCTCTGAAAGACCATTAGCCCTGGGACAGGCAAGGCTTGGTCTGAGTGAGCTCTGAATCTTTAGCGTCCCGCTGGCCCCTGCAATAGAAAGTACTCCACTAAGGCTCTGAAAAGAAGCCATCTTGTTGCAAGGAATGGGTACCCTTCCTACTTCCTAAAGAAAATCTTCATGCTCTTTTTCAGATTGTATGTTGGATGAGGAAGAGGGAGACCGAAAAAAAAATCTCATTTGGGTCATACATAGTCATTCAAATGCTTCTATAGTCGAGTTGACTTGTACATAAATCTTTGTCTGCATCTGACTGACTCTTTCTTACATCACACATGCAGATGCTAGAATCAGACAAATCCCAGAGTTGTGGTTTGCTACTTGTGTGGTCTTGGGCATGTCAAGTCTCTGGCCCTTCTTTTCTTCAGTGTAAAAAGGAGAGGACAATGAGCTTACAGGACAGAAAGGAGGTAATAGTGGTCAGGTGCCAGTGCAGCTCTTGACACGCTGGTTTTGTTTTATTACTGTGTGGAATTACTGGGTCCATGCTGTAGTTAATACCACATGGCCAAACTGCTATCTGGAAACATGCAGTGAGTTGTACACATGCTAACAGCCTGTAGCACCTTTCCACACGGCACTGACATAGTTGGGTCAATTTTATTTGTGCAATACTGGGGTTCAAAGCCAAAGGCACTCTACCACTGAGGTACATCTCCAGCTATTTTTCTTTTTTGGTACTGGGGATCAAACTCAGGACCTTGTGCTTGTGAGGCAGGCGAGGTGCCTTTCCTGAGATGTGGTCTCACTGCCCAGATTGGCCTCTAACTTATGATCCTCCCACCTCAGCCTCCCAAGTAGCTGGGATTATACGTACGCACCATCGCACCTGGCCCCTTTTATTTTTAGTTAAAGCAGATATCCAAGTAACTGGGCTGCTGCCTGAGATTTTTTATTTTTAGGAAATAACTACGGAGATGGAGATGCTGCAGAAAGAGGCCATTGGAGAGAAGCCTCTCTTAAGGTGCTCAGTCCCCTAACTGGGGCCCTGGAGGCCTGCAAGATGCCGCTGCATGGGGTCTGCCCAGACACACCTGTACGTTTCACTGTTGACTTTCCCACAGGCTGTTTCAACTTCCAGAGCTACGCATGAGTTTGTGCTGTGTCCTGCTCCCTGCCACTTTCACCCTCACATTCCTGGAGATTGTGGAAGGGACTGGGAAGACAGACGTGAATGGAGGTGTATACAAGATTTACTGGCTGTGAGTTGTGGATTCCTTGTGGCTCTGAAACTCGGGTTTTGGCTTGTTTTGTTTGAGACAGAGTCTCCCTATGCAGTTCAGGTTGGTCTCGAACTCTGTAACCCAGACCTGGCCTCAAAATCATGGTGATCCTCCTGCCTCAGCTCCCTCAGTGCCAGGATTACAGGTGTGCGCCACCATGCCTGGCCTCAGGCTCTGGTACTCTAAATGGCACTTGTCAGGGGTGTGATCTTGGCCAAGACACTTAAAGTCACAAATCAGTCACAAAGCAGCCTTTGTGCTTTCACACTGTTCCATGACTTTGTGCTGGGTGGAGTTGAGGACAGAAGAAAGAAAGATCTTCTTTGGGGTCAATTTTCACCACTAAGTCCGCAATTTCATCATTTGGCTATATGTGGAATAATAGCTTCTGAAAATTTTTTTTTATTTTTTATTTTTTGGTACTGGGGATTGAACTTGGGACCTTGTGCTTGCAAGGCAAGCAGTGGCACCAGAGCTAAACCCCTGGCCCTGAATTTATATATTAAGGCATCTTTGCGTTTTAATGCTGTCTCTTCCTCTGACACGAAGGGAAAGGTGACTACGAGGTAGAATTTGTGCAGTGCTTGGACTGTGTGCTGAACCTCAAGGTAAATTTGATTTGGGTCCAGATAACCTTTGTGAAGCAGACTAGGCAAAAACAAAAAACTAGGTGAAGTAGTACACGCCTGTAATCCCAGCTACTCAGGAGGTTGAGGCAGGAGGATCTCAAGTTTGAGGCCAGCTTGGGCAACTTATTGAGGCCCTCTCTCTAAAAATAAACAGGGCTAGGGCCAGGATTTAGCTCAGTGGTTCTGCTGCCTGCCTTGCAAGTATAAGGTCCTGAGTTCAATCCCCAGTACAAGAAAAAAAAAAAAAAAAAAAAGGCCAGAGTGGGGGCAAGTTTACAAAGGACCACAGCAAACTGGAAGCAATCATTTTAACAGTTTTATTCAAGTCTCTGTGTGCTCTGGTGTGGAGACCAGGCTGAGATCAGCATCACACTGTAATACAGTAAGAGGTTTAGCCATTGAACCAAGCCTGCTTGGCATCCCTAGTTAACAATTTACAGTACCTCAAAAAGAAAACAAAAAAATGTAGAGGAGAGAGGAAAGAAGGGAAGAAGGAAAAAAGAAATGAAAGAAAGGAAGGATGGACAGATGGACAGGGAAACCAAAGGAAAGAATCTGATAAGTTTCCTTCAAGACTTTTCCATCTTTAAATATTGTTGACAAAATACAATAACTTAAATATATAAGCAAGATGGGAATTCAAGGACAAAGGATCAAGACAGACACACAGATAAAACACTGATGGAGAGAAGGTCTAGAGATAAAAACTAGTAGCTAATTACAAAGAGACAAAACAGTTATATGAACTTTCACTTAGGTACATAGACTCTAAGGACCTAAGGGGAAAGAAAATCCCAAAGAAAGTTTTTCTGTGAACTAAGTAAAACCCAACTCCAACTCCTTTCCCTAAAATCCTCTAACATATAGTCTTAGACTCTGCTACGTCTGAGTGTGGATGTGTGTGGTAGGTGACCGTGCCGAGCAGGTAGTGAGGGAAAGCAGAGAACGTTAATGAGTTCATCACCTCCTGCTTTTCTATAGCTAAGTACCAAGGGCATGTGGCTCAATATGACAAAAAGACAACAGCCTGATTTCAAGTTTCCAAGGAGCAGACACGAGCTACAAGAAGGCTTCCAAGCTCAAGAGACGGGGCTGAAAAGTGGGCTGAAGCTGTAACCAGAAGCAATCACAAGGCAAAAGTGGGCTGGAGCAGGAGAGAGGCCCACAGCCTTCAATGGTGCTGGGCAACAAGCTACAGAATGGTCACATTCGGCCCAGTGCGGTCTGAATCCCTGAAGACTCATGGAGAAGAAATGGAGGAGGAGCAAGCAAACAGCAGTAGAGAGGAAGTCACTGAGCTCTGAGGAGGTTGCAAGTCCAGTCACACAGGTGGGTAATGGGACACAACACCTCTCTGGGCTCATCTCAGGGTTCCTCAAAAGTGGCCTATGAAAGGGATGATGCTGGAACCAACCAGATCTGCAATTTGCTTCCCAGCTATGTGACTCTAGGCACGTTATATAATCATCATCAGAACCCCAATTTACATATCCTTAGATGGGGGCCATACCCAATGCCACAATTACTGTAAGGAGTACAAAAATATACGTACACAAATCCCTGGGACTGTGTCTCCCCTGTGGCAAAAATGTAATGGTTTCTTATCATTTATCATTAGTCTCCTATCGACGCCAAGATAAATCCATGCCTTGCCTGACAATGACAGAGGAAAGAGCCAGAGCGGCATGGCTTCTGGAACTGGAGGTAGAACACACGACAAGAGTAAAATAAAGACAACAATGGTAGTGAAGATGATGCTGGTGGGAGTGCGATGGGCAACATTTTGAAGGCTGTGTAGGCACAGTGTTAGGGATCGCAGTTCTTGCTGAGCGAGGGAATGAAGAAGCTTTCATTCACTTCTCGCCCTTCTGAGACCTGGGAGAATCAATGAGGCTTCTAAATTCACTCCCAAAATTCAAGACATTCCAAAGAGGTTTGAGATAAGAATCTACAGGATCACTCTCCCTAGAACTCACACACAGACACACAGACACAGACACACAGACACACACACACACACACACACACACACGTAAAGGGGCCTCAGGGCTCCAGGGAATATCAAAGAAAGGTCAAAGAGTCAGGGGCCCAAAGTTAGAAGAAAACACTCTTAATGCAAAACACCCTGAAAGCTCCTTAACTCACTCAGGACCAGAGGGGAAGGGAACTAATTAGAAAATAACCTATTTCACAATGGTACCTAAACCCTGTTCAGCTCACAGGTCTAGTGGGATAGGACCAGGGTGAGGGGAGTGAGGCACTCTTCTCAGATGCAAAATTTAAGGGGCATCAGAAAACTCAGTAACCAAAATATAAATCATATTTCACTGCAGTATGCTAAAAAAATCAAAATTAATAGAAAAATATCCAGGATGAATACAGTACTAAAACTTTACTAAGTCAGGCTCTGTCCAAACAGGTGTCTGGGTCAAAAGCATTTCAGAAATGTAGACAACATATTTCTGAAACTGGCCTTGGACTTCAGAGCTGAGTAAGTCACACCCTGTCGACGGGGCCCTCATTTACCAGAATGATCCGAGTTCAGGATTCTGGGATATCCACCCCACCTGTCCCAGTAGGAAAGGCTGTACTCCAATATCCCAGCCTGAGACTCCCCTGTAGATGTCATGCCCATGCCTGACAATCAGTCTAGTAAAACTAGGTGGTGGGTACTGCAAGGAGGGCGAGTCAGACCAGTCAGTGGGAAGACAGGTCAAGGGGAAGGAAGGTAGGTATGTTTCCACAGGAAACAGAAAGGTGTGGCAATCAGCTAGGCCCAGAGCCTCTTCTCTCCAGCTTGAACTGAATAGCAGGCTCTGATAAGCACTGTAGGGAACCAGCAACAGTAAGAATCAGGAAAGACTAGGCTCAAGCTCAGGGAGAGAATTCAACATTCTGAAGAGCCAATGCCAGAGCACCCAGAGCTGCCTAGGAGGCTTCTAACAGAGCCCGGAGGCTTCTAAGACCCACAACTGAAAAAGCAAGGGGGGATCTGGGGCCTGAGGAGATAGTGATCTCACCAGGATGAATGGAAAATACTTTGAAACAGTCAGCCTACAAGAAACTCACCTGGCCTGCAAAGCCAACCAGAAGCTTGGGGCTGGGCAGACTGGTTAGGCACCTATTAATTAGTCTTAATCAACCAGGATTTCAGCTTTCACCTCCTGCTTTCCAACACTGGCACCTGAGATGGTTAACACCCAGTCAACAATGACGGGAAAGGCCCAGGGTCAAGGTCTCCCCAGAAACAGCAGAATTTTTTCCCTTTTATATACAGAATTTTATTAATTTGAATTCTTGATCTAGGAAAAGTCAGAGGCAAGTAATATTAGGTTAAGCCATATGAAATAGCCAATGATTTGATTGCTTTTGACCTGTGATAATATATACATTACACACACGCACACACACACCTCCACCAAGGGAAGCAAGCTAGCAAGGTGGAGCTTATCCGTCCTGGAGCTGGACCTGGGTTCCAGAACCACACATGTAAGAGATGGAGTCTCACTGGGTTACCCAGACTGGGCACATACTCCCGACTTCAGTCTGCGACAACGAGCATGTATCACTGTGTCCCGCTGGGTTCACACATTTTAAAGTTAGAAGGTGGCGTCGTCCTCACTTCATGGCTGCATTTCTCAGGGCCAGTGGGAGAGAGACACTTGCGCTTGACTATCATACATAAGGCCTTCCTTGGGTTCAAGCTCTGGCAAGGGGTGGTAGTGTTTAAAAGTGGTAGAACCCCTGCCTGGGGGCGGGCAAGCGTGATGAGTTAGCAATGTTCCTGTGTGGGGTGGGGGTGGGGGTTTCCAATACGGGGACTAACTCTGGAGCCAAGGTGGTGATCAAACATGCTGGGCATGCCGGGGGTGTCTTGTTGTGTACCTGAGCAACAATGGCCTGAGGGAGACCACCATCCCCACATGTAACATATGATGTCTCATGGCCAAGGGGACCTTTCCCAAAGATTCTTCCAGGAATTGGCCTGATTCTAGGCTCTCATCAAATCACACCCTGGGGCTGACCCCAAGAAAACAGAGATGACAAACTGCTGTCACCGACCTCCCATCTTCTCAATAAGACAAATGGTGAGGTTGGCCTGCCTGCCAGGAAAAGGAGGGACATAGGAAAGGGTGCTTGTCCACACCAGGTGCTGTATAACATGGCCACGCCTTGCCTGGCCAAGGTGCCCATGAGGCATGAGAAGCCAGGTCTAAATCCTCCTCTTCCAGAAGTGAAAGGACAAAACAAAGGCAAAATCCCCCGAGGCAAAGGTGGTAAGAGAACTCGGCCAACCTCGTTCATCCTGCAGAGATGGAGGAAGCTTCCTCTAGGCGGGCAGGGAGCTGCTCCTTCTGACCTTCTCTGACACTGACTCCTGTTGCCCTTGTGAAGGAAGCATGTGATGATGTCTTTTAAAAGAAGAAAATCTGAGAGGAGCTAGGAGAAAACCCCAAGGTCACACAGCAAAAGCAGAATGGAGAAACAGCCAACTTATTCACTCTCAGAGCCTAGAAACTCAACTAAGCAACTAGTTCAAGCAGCGTTTTAATTTCTTTTCTCTTGAATCCTTATCACAAGGCATTCACCCTTTCTGTACCAGGCAAGTATATTAAATGAAGGAAATGCCATTTTGTAAAGGTCAGGAGGAAAAGCCAGCACTATTATGAGTTGTCCAAATGCAAGACACTGTTATTACATCATTACTCCCAGACCCTAGGGATGCCAAAGGGTGTTAAGATACAAGCAGCCACCAAAGCCTTTTAGAAATAACGAGGATAACTGAGAAATCTACTCCGCTCTTAGCAGCAGCCTGGATCTCCAAGGCGGTAAACAGAGGATAACCAAGTTTAGAACCAGTGGTGGCAGGAGCTGAAGGATCTGAGGATATAGGGAAGAAAGCAGCACCTGTTCCTATCGGCATCTTCCTTGTGGTGACCACCTGCTGAGAGCAGACCTGTGTCTCTGACCAAAGGGATGTGCAGGGCAAAGGGGAGACCAGCCACTGCTGCCCAAGTCCCTTGTCCACAGCCTCAGGGCCTGCTTCTGACCATGGCCACACAACAAAGGAACCTAAGTGGAGATGAAGCCACTCAAATGGCTACTACTGAGAGCCTCATCCCATTTCCAGCCTTGCCCCTAAGACAGTGCAGCAGACAGGAGGCCATCAGAGACCAGGCCGGAAGAACCCAGCGATTGTGTAACTCCTACGCTTTCATTCATGCTCACAGCAGCATCTCTAGAATAATTCTGCTTTTGCTTCTTTCAGGTACAGTTATTTCCTTAGCCGAGACTCAACTTTTCTGTGTCCTGCAAATTATGTTATATCTGTGACACTGCAAGAAAGAAAGATGGCTGCAACCTAACAAAATGGTACAAACCACTAAAAATGAGCAAGGGAAAAAAATCCTTATCTCATGCCGTGCACAGTCATGCCAGCATGGTTTGGATTATACTGTGGGCTATGACCTCCCTCAGAGCCATTTACTGGAACTAAGGGTTTAGGGACTGGAATTTTGGAGGGCACAGAACAGACCATTGGTACCCTTCTCCCCATCAAGAATGACAGGCATCACTGGTGGGCTAGAACCACAGACAGAATCCATTCTTCCTCTCCCAGCCAAAGAGTAGGCAAATGGGGGCGAAAACACTCTCTTACACACTGACTGTTGGTCTAAGAGAAAGACGAGGTGCAGTAACAAAGTCCCGGGCAACACTGGTGGCATCCAGCACCGGGGTGGGGCCAAATGGGGTCATAAAAAAAGAACGGCATGAAAACCAAGGTTGCCTCTTTTGTCCTCCCAGAGAAGGATTTCTATCACAGTAACAGAAAATAAGCAGTGACCAATTGTCACTCCTGCCAGCGGCACCACTCCCCCCATCCTGGCACCCCAGCAGCCAACGCAAGGGTCCTGCATGTTGACTTCCCCATCACAGAGAATACTCCAGTGGAGCAATACTGAGAGTCTGGCGGGAAGAAGAGCACAGCCCCAGGACTGGACCCGGTCAGACTGCTACTATCACGCAGATGCCACAGCTCACACACAAGGTGTGAGGCCTCAGAATAGTGGAAGGGGAAGAAGGACACGAGAAAGCCTTAGACAAAGTTCAACATTAGATTTCAGGAAACAAACAGCAGGCAGGTCAGGGCTGGTCTTTGTTTTCCTTCCTACCCAGCTCTCGGCGCAGAACCCGGCAAGAGGGCTGGCTGTGCACAGACACACAGGTGGCCATGCTCAGCTTCCAGAGCTCAGGACACACAGCAGCTGCACGTCAGTGGCTCGCTGAGTACCTCAGAAATGGTGTCACCCTACCATGCTGCCCACCGACGGAAGGTACGACTAATGGCACCATTTTACTTCAAGGGCAGCATGATGTGGGTGGCAGGCTGAGAAGAAAATCCCCACAGTTCCAATCCCACTGCTCAGGACACCCTGAACTACGCTATGTGGAGACATCCACTAACTGAACACAAGCTGAAGCCCGCTGACTCCAAGGACTGGAAGAAAGACCAAGGGAGGGGAAAACACATAAACACCTAACAACGAAAGAGACAGACATCGAACTGGCACCAGAGAGTAAGTCTCCCAAGAAGCCGTTCCTGGGAGGAACAGAAGCTTGTGTCAGAACCTAGCACGACAGCGTCCAGACCCCAGTGGGTAGATGAAAGCCTTTGAGAAGTGCCGGTTTCTACCCTTCACTGAATGTTTCCAAATGCGGTGGGCAGGACACACAAAGACTCCGCTACCTTCTGTGTTGCAACCTGACTGCACTTTTCCTAACTCTGCCCGTCCCCTCAGTTCTCACTTAGCCCGTTCCCCTTACCACCTCTGGGCTCAAATAAATAGCAGGGCTTCTGAAGGACAGGTAGCTAGTGCCAGGTCCATCAACAAGAGAGCCCCCAAACTAGGCCACCTTGCCCTCAGTCTTCTAGCTAGCACAAAAGGAGCATAGGACACACAACAGCTCCTATCTCACACCAGCAAGATTGTGATTCACGGGTGTTAGGGGTGGGTGGAAGAGGAGCAGAACCAACATCATAGAAGGCCCAATACTGGCACGTGGGAAGGCTGAACTCAGGGCTAACAACGGGACTCCAGGACAGCTCGGGGCATACTCAACAGGCCGAGGAGAAGGAGCAGCAGACAGATTTGGCTGAGTGACTTCAATGTCACCCCAAAGGTGAGGAAGTCTCTGGAGGGCGGAGGACATGCATGCATCCCTCCCTCCCCCACACAGCCAGAGCGCATGGCCACAGCTCCTCCACTGGACATGGGGGAAAAGGCCCTGCAGGGCAGGAGACCCTCTGAAGTGGCCCTGCTCCCATCCCCTCCATCTTCAAAGTGCATTATCAGTGCAAGAAGTAGGGCTGGAACTCAGGGGGCCCAACTCTGGGAAAGGGCTGTGCCAGACAGCTCCCTCCATCTCCTGCGCCCCCCCCCAACCCTTTTCACGCTAAGACCAGAACTCCTGCTGGATCTCATAAGGGGTTGGCCTGTGTGTGTTCAGCTCAGCTCTGCATAGCGGCACGGTGCTGTCCTGACTCTGCCCTTCTGCATCCAGGTCCAGAAGCGTCCGCTCAGCAGGAGGCAGTGGCCCTGTCTGCAACGGGAGCAGGGCTGGGAGTCCAGGCCGCTCTTCTACAGTGCTGCTGCTGCTAGCAAAGCAGGAGTCCAGGTTGCTGGGTGTCTCCGTGCTAGAGCTGTTGGCTGGGGAGGCGCTTCGGGCATGGCTGGGGGACACAAACCACCAAGGATCCAGCCGCTGCCGGTTGGCAGAAGGACGTGGCCGAGGCAGAAACTCCAGAGTCTTCGGTCTCTCCAAAGTAGAGTCCTGCTGGGTGTTCCAGCGTCGTGGTGTTGGGGGAAAAACCACATTGGGGTCGGGGAGACGGGGAAATTCACCAGGGTCTCGGCTGGGACTGGGGGTTTTCAACATTCCTGGTCCAGGAGACAAAGGGAGACAACAGATGATGATAGCACAGTATTTCTGGGTCAGATACACACTGTTCCTTCTCACCGTGTCACATTCCAAGGCACTTCAGAGAGCATGAATAAACACTTGTTGAGCACCTACTACGCGTCATGCAGTACAATGGGAGTTACTGGGGATGCAATAGTGAATTAGAGGGCCAAGGTCCTTATATTCCATAACAGTAATGGAATATATGACCACATCAGGAATGAAACAACTTAAGCAAATGTTGGCAAAAGACCCATTGGTGATCACTTGTCTTTATAAATAAAGTTTTATTAGAACTTTATAAAGTTTTGTGGTGGATATACTCAAAGTCTGCTTTCCAACTACAGCAGCATAGCTGAGTGTTATAAATGAAACTGTATGACTCACAGAGCCTAAAATATTTACTATCTGGTGTTCTCTCCAAACGGTTTGCTGCTCCCGCACCCCTGAGTTAAGGGAATGTCCATTTGTTCACTGTGCATCCATTTAATAGACATGACCAGAACAGGGTCAGGTATTCGGAGTTTAAAGGTGAGAAATGTTGAGTCTTTTCCCAAAGAGGTTACATACTTGAGCATAACAACAAAAAAGCACAAGAGAGAGGGAAGGTCAAGTAAGTATGACTGTCATTTACGCATCTCATTCGGGGGGCCTGCCATCCCCGCTTCTCCCATGGGACAGGTGGTTTCCAAGTCTGGCAGAAAGACCTAGGCTACGAGTGTGTGTACCCGGAGTCCCGGGGATCAGATGCACATGGACAGCAATGTACCTGGGCACCTCCCCATGCCCAGGAGTCAGGGCCGCTTACTGAAGAGCGTGAAGAATGGGGGAAACTCACCTTGGGAATGTGTCTGAGTGACACTATCACAGAAGGCAAAGGCCCAGCTCCATGGCAGAAAACACACCCCCAGATGTACCACAGGACTCCCTCCTAGTACTGCATCCTCAGGAAAGAACCAGAAACTAGACTTCTACCCTCCTGTACCTCAAGTACTGCCCTGCCCCAGACCCAGGGCCTGAATATCTCCTTGGGGTCCCAGGGCCAGTTCTTCTAGAATTTGCCTGACTTCTTTCAATGGCAGGAAGTCTTCTGAGGTATAGGACAGAGAGAAGTCAGCCAGCATTGGCTACCTCCCCACCCCAGATCACTATTTCCTGTTTGAATGAAGAGGAAGAATGGAGCTCACTCAAATCCTGAAGATAGAGGCAAACAAGGCACCTACAAACATCTTCAACTCTCTGGGAGGCACACGGAAAGGTGAGAAAAAAGAGAAAGAGGCCAAGACTCACCTGCTGCATGACTGGGGCTCAACCCATTGCTGGAGGGGCTCCTGCTGGCTAGAAGAGCCGCTGACTTAAGGGCCCCATCTGAAGGAGTCCGCCGATGACCGCTCGGCTGTGTGGGGGCAGTGAGGGTGACATGGGTGGGGGTCAGGGACTGGTTAGGGTCTCGTTTGAAGCGCTCCACCCTGACATTGACCAGGGGGTTGTGGGTGCATGGAGTCCGAGGCGGGGCCTGGACTGGGCTGACTGGCATCTCATATACCACAATCTCATCACTGTCAGAGCGCAGCAAGGAGCGGGTAGAGTTGCACTCAGAGATGGAGGAGAGAGACAGCAGTGTCAGGGAGGCAGAGGGGTCTCCTAGCAGGAGCAGGGGCTCTTCCTTCTTGAAGAGCTTGCGGGACGGGGGGCTGGTGCTCCGACGGGGACAGCTGGCCCTCTGAAAGAGACCCTCACGCCTCTTCTTCTCCTCTCGGATTGGTGGCTCAGGCTCCTCTGGAGGAAGCAGCTGGCACCTGCCAGCTTCCAACAAGTCAAACCCAAGGCCTGTGGCTGCCAGAACAGCCCCACAGCCGAGCAGAGCCATCTCACAGCGGCGGTGGTGGGTACCACTGCGCTTCAGGCTGTTAGTTGGTGTCAGCTGAGGGGTACTGGTGGCTGAGTTGACTGGGGTGGGCTCCTCATAGACTCCATCACTCGAGGGGCCATCCCCATCCTCTCCACGAGGAAATGGGATGCAGAGGTAGGACTGGTTGGGTGAAGGCTGCGGACGATTCTCTCCACTCCTTGGGCCTTCGCTGTCCTCATCCTCTGTAAAGATAAGCGTGTAGGAGAGATAGGAAATAGAAACCAAGCCCTGAGAACAAGAACCTGGCCCTTTCCACAAACCGATCGCCCCCTGACTCAGTGTCAGGGATGAGATGGTCAGATGGAACTGGACCCTGAACCTGTCTGGCTGCATCCCCAACACTCAGCAGATCAGTCTGTATTCCAGAGACCATTTCCCTATGTGCAGAAAAGGGAACCTACTAATCCACCACTTCTTTCATAGGCAGCGCCCTCCTTTTTATTTTCAGTGCTGGGGATTGAACTCTGGGCCTTGTACATGCTAGGCAAGCTTCTACCACTGGGCTACAGCTCCAGTCCCATAGGGAGCCCAATAATAAAGTATAGTATGAGTTTCTAGAACAGTGGATAGAACAGAAACATCCTGATGTTTTTGTGCCTTAAGATTAGAATGGCCTTAGGATTTCTAGAATGACAATGTATCTTAGGACCAGTCTCCACAAAGCATGAGAATCCTCTATATGGGTGAAGGCCAATCTGTTCCATGAACTGACTTCTGATAACCTGGGAAATCTATAGAGATAGGAACACTACCTGAGAGACCCTGGAGAAGAGCTTACCCATCATACAGTACTCAGAGGAAAATACTGGAAAGCTTCTGCGGACAAGGGCTGGGGTTCTGATCACCATCCCACACTGTGTGGACGCCCCCATCAGTATATGAGAAAACTGAGTCAGAAAAGGGAAATTCTTATTCGAGGACCACTCTTCTATACTATCCTAAGGTGACTAATACTGGCCGTCCCTTTGGACAGGCAGCAAGGGCAGGACCTACTGCAGCAGTGGGAAGAAACCGTGACTTAGCAAGACAATGAAGCGGAAGCAGACCAGACTAGAAGGGTGAAGTGACAAACCCCAGGTGGTGTTCAAACACTGCTAGAAGCTTGGTCAAGAACTTGAGGGGACAGGGAGAGAACCAAGAGCAGCGCTTACCCATCTCCATAAGGCTGGTGAACCCTGGTAGGGCTGGGCTACTCCTCGGGCCCTTCCCCAGGTTGGGGGCACTGGACGACCATTGCCTGTATCCATCTACCAGAGACTTGAGCCTGAAGAAGAGGAAATGAGAAGATGATCAGAACTAGCTTCTTCCCTTACACTATCTTCAAAGAAGCTAAGGAAATGCCTCTCTCCTTGTCCACTTGGTGACATCCAACAGCCTCGGAGCACAGGCAACAACTCTCACTGGGCCCACCTGCTTCACAAACAGAAGCACACATGCACTAGAGAACGCAAAGCAGGGGTGTGACCTCACCCCTCACATGCTGTGGACCTGTGAGCAGGCTGGCAAGCAGGCAGAAAGACAAAGGCCTGCCCAGCTGGTGTAGGCCTTGCCTGAGGTCTTCTTAGGTAAGTGATGCACAGACACTGAACACCACACACTCACGACACCAGGAATACTGCAGTGCAAAGACTCACAAAACAAGGCAAGCATGGGGCAGATGAACAAGTAGAAATGGCTTCACACTACTTGCACCATTTCTAAACTTCTCCTTCCAAGCATCTAGCACAGGCAATTTTCAAACCCATCCACTCTTCAAAAAGAAAAATCAGCTAACAAAATTGCACCAACCCTGTGCACTTTGGGAGAGACCTATGTGGGTAACACACTATGTGGCCCTTGAGCCCCTGGTTGATCTGGGGACGAAGAGAAAGATAGCAGCTCACATTCAAGTCCCTGTAATCAGCTTATGTGGCAGCCAGTAACTCTCCAAGGATACAGACTGGGTACCCACCAATTGCTCACATTAGAGAATCAGAAGCCACAAAGCACTGGTCTTTTCCCTAGAGAACAGCAAAAGGTAGCATTAAGAAATCTATGTGCTCTGGTGGAATCTCTGTACACTGGATCCACGGAAAGCCAGCTAGCAAGTCTAAACCAGTACTCAAGACTGAAGGATAAATAGTAATGTGTCTTCTCCCTAAAACCAAGAGCACCAGAAGCACCCCAACGATTGGAGTGGTCAGGAAAGTGAGTTACACTAACACAGGCATTTTCCCAATGTGCATGATGGTAGATGGTAATACACTGGATCCACGGAAAGCCAGCTAGCAAGTCTAAACCAGTACTCAAGACTGAAGGATAAATAGTAATGTGTCTTCTCCCTAAAACCAAGAGCACCAGAAGCACCCCAACGATTGGAGTGGTCAGGAAAGTGAGTTACACTAACACAGGCATTTTCCCAATGTGCATGATGGTACTGCTCTTAAAAAAAAAAAAAAGAAAAGAAAAAGAAACAACAACAACAACAACAACAACAACAACAACAACAACAACAACAAAATGGAAGAGCAATGGAAGGGCGATTGCTACCAGTGCAGCTGGTAAAAGACTGAAGGTCTGACTCACCCCAAGTGGAAATGTGGAGATTCTGACGGGGTACTTAAACCATTAGCTTTCTCACGTCTCTGAGGGGATCTTCAATGAATAAAGAGAATCAAAAGGAGGCAATGGAGGGCACATCGAGCTGAGCCTCTCCCACACTGGACTCAGCAATGCCACCAGCCGCCATCCCCTTGTCTAGGTAGCAGAGCCCACACCAGGAAGGAATCATAACACAGTGGCCTGTGAAGCCTGAGTGGCTTCAGGGCCACATTCTCCCAATCCAGTAAAAGTTCCTGGGTGGCCACAGGGTAGCTATATGGGGCCTGTAAATCTACAGGTACCCAAGGTGTTTACAGGCAAGTGTGTGCTTCCTGCTGAAGATGCAAATTCACTTAATGTTACTACATTCAAGATAGTTACTTGCCATTACATATTTTCTTCAGTCAACAGGGACTAAAGTGAGAAATATTAAAGCGCTTAAAAATTTTTGAAATCAGGGTTGGGGATTTAGCTCAGTGGCGCCACTGCCTGCATCACAAGCACAAGGTCCTGAGTTCGATTCCTGATACCAAAAAAAATTCTGAAATCAAAGAGGTTTTTACTCAAGACATCAATAATAACTAAGAATTATGAAAACTTAAGCCATAAAATATTTAATTGCTTCATAAATTTTTGAGGAGAAATCCATGTAAGGAGAAAGAAAAGTTCAAAGTTGATATTTCTTTTTTTTTTTAATTAGTGCATAATTTATTTTTTTTGTTGTTTTTTTGTTTTTATTAATTGAGTTTATTGGTACATTTAAGGTATACAGTACAATTATGTCCATTATTGGGATCTTGTACCTTTACATGACAGGTCTTGGTTCTCATTTTTTTCCCCTATGTGAGATAACTTACTACTAAGTCAAAAACATCTTTAAATGAAACAGAACCATGGAAATTATTGAGATCAAGAGCCAACCTGCTTAACTCTACCAGGAATAACAATAATGTCAGAAATATCCAGCAATTCAGGATGACTGAGTTTCTCTGACCCAACTCAATCCTATTCTAGCCTGGGGCTCAAACGACAAAAGGGACGGCTCTTGCTCCTTCAGAACCTGGGAGAGGATTGCAATCTGCTGTCTCCCAAGGATTCAACTGCTGATGTTATATACAGCATAAACAGTTTGCCCTACATTTCTAACATTTTTTGTATATTGTAATCTTTTCTTTTTCGGTTTTTATTAGTACAGGTTTGCAGTACATAATGCTCACCTTCCTCGTGGGAAGTTGGTGCATGTATGTTTTCATCCCCTTCCCTTCCACTTTCTCTGCCCTCCCTCTCTCTCTGGGTCTCCTTCCCTTTTACAAAAGATCTGCCTCCCTATTTCCTATTATCTATCTTTTATGTTGCTCTTTATTTATAGTTTGGGTTTCTCATATAAAAGAAACCGTGCAATATTTATGCCTGTGTGTCTGATTTATGGAACATGGCTTCAGAGAGTCAATCTTCTGTGAACCAAGCTGTTTTTTGGTTTTGCTTGTTTGGTTTTTTTTTCTCCTTGGGCTCGGATCTGACATGGGGAAAAAGATTTTAGACATGAAATCTTAGTATTTAAAAGATTAACAGGCAGGGGATTTAGCTCAGTGGTGCTGTGCCTGTCTCGCAAGCACAAGGTCCTGAGTTTGATAACTGGTATCAGGGGGGCAAAAAAAGATTAACAAGGTAGTTATAGGTTTAGGACACCCCTAAGTCAACAGTCAACCTCAGCTCTTTGGAAAGTTACTAAAAAAGGTGAAGGGGATCCCTGGTTAAACTCAGTTAGTACAGTCATAAAACACTGTTTTAGAGCCTAACATCCAGAATAATAAGTATAAACAGTGACATCCATGCTTTTTATATGAAACAGAATTGCATGAGAGGCAGGGAAGAGTCACCTTGCTAATGTTTACACATGCTTACTATGAGCCACCTACTCTACACACTTCACAAACATGAACTCAGTTAATCCTCACATGGACTCCGTGAGATGGGTACTAATAGTATTCCCTGTTCTATAGAATGGAACACCTTGGGCACAGGGGAGCTAGCACTCACACCCGAGCTCTTATACAGCATGAATGCATGACCTCTGAGGAACAGAGACTCAGGAAGATTTGCCTTCTAGGCCTTATGCCCACAAGAGAGGACCAGCACATTCAAGGCACCAAGACCTCCATGCTTCCCCAGTAGGGGGCTCCCCTGCCTCCATATGACTATAAGGCCTGAAAGTTCTAGTGGCCACTGCACAAGGGCTGTTTACTCTGCCTGCCCCGCTTTGTGACAAGCCTCCAATTAACCCCTGCTTTTCTTCTCTTTCTCCTGCAAGGATGTCTTAAGGGGAAGAACCAGATGTAAGTAGAATACTTGAACCGAACTTTCCACATTTCTTAATTGCTTGGGCTACTTGGTACTCTGAGAACACTTGCAGGGGTCGGCAGACTACGCTGGTCACCTAAATCCTGCTCATCACTTGTTTTTGCAAAGTTTGAATGGAACACAAATGTGCTCACCCATTAATGTATTACCTACAGATTGTGGCTACTTACAACTTCAACAGTTGTGACAGAACCCGACAGATCACAAGGCCTAAAATATTTATCATCTGGCCCTTTATAGAAGAAACTTACTAATCCCCACCCTAGTGGGTTCCCAAGAAACAAAAGAGAGTGGAAAAAGCTGCTATAAAGACCAAAAGGCTGTTATTTCTCAGAAGGCATTGAAACACAACAGAGAAAAAGGTATTTCACATCATGTTTTTAAGTGGGCACCCATCTTTAAGGGAGAGAGAATTCATATCATTTGGCTCTTACCCTTCATCTCCTGAGGTGAGCTCCTTCTGCCCAAGAGTCCCTGGCCCCCACGTCCGGCCCTTCTTCTTTGGGACCCTCTTCTCCTCCTCCTCTTCCTCCTTTGGGATGACTGAGCTCCGGCCCCAGGTTTTGCTGCTTTCACCTGGTGTCACTATGAACAACAAAAGTTGAAATAAGGTCTACAAAACAGGCAAACAGAGCCCTCCAAAGCTAGCCTGTACAGCACCACACACACGCACATGCATGCACACAAGGAGGGAAGTGAGATCTCATCAGAAACTCTGTGCCCAGGTGGACCATTCTAGACAAGTAATGGAGTCCCCAGCCACCAATAATTTAGCTTTCAAAGTACTAAATATGAATTCAAGCCAGTCAGATACAGAGTTCCAAACAGATCTGAACTAAAGAACTTACTTTTAGGGGTAGAATTGGATGTCAGGGAATGAAGAAGTGGGGGAGGGGTGAAGAGTGAGGTAAATACGAAGAACACAACTTTTTGCAAATAAAGACTTGAAAAGGAAGAAAATGAGTTTAAAGCTATGGGAAAACAAGTCCAGTTAAAAAGGAGAGAAGGGAAGTGTAGGCACAGAGAAATAGAAAAGAGGAGGGACATTTTTCTCAAATTGCTACCTACAGCAACAGCTGAGACCCATGGGCCTCAGGGAAAGGCTTAAATCAGAAATGAGTGACAGGAACCAGTTACCAAAACAAAGAGGGTTGAGGGGACTGAGGCGAACTGGAGCAAACAGAAGAAGCTGCTATCAGTTCCAGCAACTGCATCCACATGAAAAAGGGAACCCACTGATTTGATTTTCTTTTTCAAGGCCAGAAATCCACTAATCTTAAAAGAAATCCATCTTTACACTCGGAAACTAATTCATTCATTCATAGACATAGACACACACACACACACACACACACACACACACACACACACACACACACGTATACTCATCTTTTTAAAAGCAAATACTATGGTAAAAATAAAATCAGTCCAGGTTTGGCCCACTACAAAGTATTTGGTAATTTTTCTTAGTACCTGGACTTTGGCAAGCCCTTCCTTGAAAAGCATCAACAAAAGAAATACAAGGCCCCAAATGGGGCAGAATGCACTGGGTCTGCAGGCCAGCGAACCAACCTATATCTATATCACATCCCAGCCCCCTAATGGCTTTATAATTCACTAAAGAGCCTTCAGTACCAACAAATCCCTTTGCTGATATCTGACCAAGAGTAAAAGGTGGAGGAGGCAGGAATAAAGTTAACAGAGGTAGACAGGGGTTGGGGGACTATATGTTTGCGTACATATGTGCATGTATATACACATTGCTGAGGAGAGGTGGCAGAAGTTATGGATGGAGCAAGCCTGGACCAGTCGGTGGCTGGATAAAGCAGGGGACAGATGCCCCTAGTGTGTTCTGGCCCCAACCAACTTGGGAAACAGTCTCACACTGGATGGCTCGAAGGCGAGGAATGATGGTGGGGCTTGCAGGAGGGCTGGAGTGGCTGTTGATAAGACTCTTCCTTTTATCCATGGTGGGCGAGGCCTGCACTGTGAACTTATGCTGGAAATCTGTTTGGAGAAAGACAAACACACATATGCATTGGAATTGTCCCATCATCAAATTCATTTAAGAAATCTGACATCTCCTGACAGGCCTGAAAGATAGGCCCTAGTGTTCACCTGAGAAAGGTTCCCTTTCCGAATTCTCTTTTCCCCAAAGGGACAAGGCAAGATCAGAGTATGAGGTCTGCGGATTTAGCTCAGTGGTTCTGCCACCTGCCTCACAAGTACAAGGTCTGTAGTTTGATCCCCAGTACCAAAAAAAAGAAAAGCAAAGAAAAAGATAAGTGTATGAAAGAATGGAAAATTTATTATCCAAGTAAATATCATTAAGACAGTCTTCATAAACTCTCTATTTAATGAGTATACGTGGAGCAATTACATGCTAAGAAAAGCTATTTAGCTCATGAGATCTTGTTGACTATTCTAAGAAATGTAATTTAAAATCTGTTTTGTGCCTTTCTTTCAGGGACCAGAGCAGGGAGACAAATGCTCCTCGCCAAATATGGGCAGAGCAGGGTACTAAGAGCTAATCCATGGTGGGAGCCTAGGGAATCAAGAGAAATGGGGCATCTGCCCCAGTTATGACATCTTCCAACAGCAGTGACAGTACAGCATAAAAATACAAAACTTACAGCTCTGAATTCCTGAGTTTGCCTCCTATGAGGCAGAATAAACAGCTGCTTGTTTGCACCTAGGTCTCCCTGCTAGAATGTGATCTCCTGCAGATGGGGATCTATATTTTTTTATATTTGCACCCCCAGCACAACACTGCACGGACACAAGCTAGATGCGCACAAGGGACTTAAAGACTCCATGCTATCTGAAAAGAAAAAATGTGCAAAAAGGAAACCAGCAAACATGTCCCATGAGCACATTCTCAGGATTCCCTTGTCTGTGCCTAAGTCTTCAAGTCATCCACAACTGCTCTTATTATGCCATTCTTCCATGGCTCCTTACACAGCTGATAAGCTTGATCTAGAGGGCCTTATAGGCTCAGAACACAAAGAACATTTTTATCTATAGAAACATACCCTTGAACAGTCACCTCTCTCCATGGGTATATTACACACCACAAAGATTCTAATTCATAGTTTCATATTTCTTTGCATTTTGCCAAAGGCTGTAATTCCACAAATGTGTCTGTATTCAGCCAGTATATTTCTGAAAGGTCACATACATTACAGCTAATCTCAAATGCACTCAAAGAACTAATTATTCAAAGAAACCTTGAGATGAGTTGTTATGCAGAGCCTAGATTCCTCCTGTCTCATATATGCACACCACAGACACCTCCAACTGCATGCTCCCTTCTGCATCCCCACCTACAGTGAGCAGCACCTGGCTGAGCCACCTGAGCAGCAGCCTGGACCATGCAGGCTCTCTTCACTTCGTGGTCTCCTTTCATTCTCATTCTACAGTCCCCCTGGAATGGGTCAGATTTTCAGCAAACCAGTCTTTCCACAGCACACAATGGCCTGTTCCAATAGCCCCCCCTAAGACCTATAGTCTTGTGTCACCAAGCTTAGCAGCAGCTTCCACAAGCACCCCCAGCATACAAGCTCCTGGACTCGCTCCCACTTCCCAAGGCCACTGACCAGAGGGAAGGCTGATGCGGTTGCCATCCTTGAGCTTCAGCCGGCTCTTCCGGAACTTGCCCTTGCGTTTCTTTACCCGGGGCTTCTCCTGGCACAGCTGGTGGATGATGATGTTGAGCTCCCGTTCTAAGATGTCGATCTCCCGCTCAGCCAGCTCCTGTTCCCTACGCCGCAGCAGCTCCTCCTGGTTCTTCTGCTGGAGCGCAGCCCGGGTCAGCTCCTCTTCCCAGGTGCGGAGCTCCTATAGGGTGGGCAGGTTCATCAGAAGGAACAGTGGATCATTCAGTGCAGAGGGGTTCTGGGCGGATCCGAGGGCCCTGCAAGGACTCACACTCACAGCAACCTGGAGGGCTCTCCCACAATGCCTGGAGGAGGAGGGGTCTCTGCAGTTAGCTGAGCTCCCCTGACCATCCTTAAGTGGTGGGGAAAGGAAGGCTCAGAACAGCCTCACTGAGGAATCAACCAGAGAAGCTGATGCCACAGGCCAAGCTCTAGAGATGGGGGCTGGGGAGGTGATGAGGGCATCACAAGTAACAGGGAGTTAGCAGTACTGACATCACAGACCTAAGATAATTCATAAAAATTATAACAAAGTACGGCACATACTACCTACCCTACAATGTGAGCTGGTTTGAGAATGGGTTTGACTTTTCTTAGGACGGTACCAGTAGTGACCCTTCATTCACAGGTGTATGTTCCAAGACCCTCCAGTGCACAGAGAGTGCTGAAACCTATACATACTGTGTCTCTTCCTCTAATGCATACCTATGATTAAGTTTAACTTAGAAATTCAGCACAGAGATAAGCAACAATAACTAATACAATTATAACAATATATCATAATAAAATCACCAGCATTACTATCCTTGCACTTTGAGGCCACTGTTAAGTAAAATAAGGGCTACTTGAAGACAAGCTTTGTAACACCATAATTGATCTGATAACCAAGACTGTCACTGAATAATTAACAGGTAGGTACATAAGGTCAGAGGGATGACTGACATCCCTGATGAGATAGTGCACAATCCAGAATGCATGCAATTTAAAACTTCTGGAATTTTCCATTTAATATTTTTGGACAATGATTGGTTATGGTTAACTGAAACTTGAGAAAATGAAACAAGAGATAAGAGGGGATTCCTGTAACTACTTATAACAGAATCCAATTTTCATATGTCTGACTGGTTAATGTAATTTATAATTACATTGTAATTTTATCAATCAAAAGAAAAATAACTAAAAGCCAGCAATTTAACAATCTAAAACAAAGCCAGCAGCTCTAGGAGCTCTTCTAGAGGCCATACCAATGAGGATACAACAGTTTCTTTTTTTTTTGGTTGTTTTTGAGACAAGGGTCTCACTATGTAGTTCAGACTGCTCGGGAACTCAACTCTGTAGCCCAGGCTGGTCTCAAACTCGCAGCAATCCTTCTGCCTCAGCCTCCTAAGCGCTGGGATTACAGGCGTATGCCACCACGCCCAGTGATACAACGGCTTCTTGAGATGACCCCACTTAATGTTTAGTGCAGGTCCATCCAGCAGAGTCCCTAAAGATCTGTCAAAACTTACTCCATTCCCCTACAAAACATTCAATGACTTGCCAAAAGGTTCTATGTTTAGGATTGCTGTGTTCCATAACAGCTCTTCAAACCAGTTCCAAAAATTATTTTTAAGTCATTTGGGCAGGGAAACAACACTAATTTTACAAAGAACATGGATTTTGGCATCAGAAGACCCAAGGTCAAGGCCCTGTTTCCCCATTTACTAGTTCTGTGACTTGAGGAAGCCACTGACCCTCAGTTCCGCAATGGAAACAATAACATCTGCAATGTAAAATGGTGACAGAAGCCAGAAGACTTCTGAATAAAAAGAACAAAAAGACCTCATCAGATGTTTCAAGCAAAACAACTGGAAAGCCATATAAAAAGCAAAAAAGAAATTAGCCCAGTCTATATGGAATTCCTTGGGCTCCTGCTATCCCTCAGACTTAGCTCTGCCCCAAAAGGGTAAGCCACATAACTGTTTATGATTGGCTTCACCTGTGTGGGCAGTGACACTAACGCTATCCAAAGGAATGGCCACTGAAACCCAAAGGCAGATCCCTAGTAGGCTAGGACTCTGTGAACTCCCCAGCTGGTCTGAGCCTGTAGCTCTTTCGGGAAAAACACAGTTTCAGATCCATGGTATTTCTAGATCATCTGTTTCTGACTCTGATACCGAAAGACGCTTGTGGGATGTTCTGACAGCTTTTCTAAATGTATCCTCTCTACATGAAGTCCACTCCAGAAGTCCACTGTAGAACCAAGAACCCTATCCAGAATTCTCTCATATTTTCAGTTGGCAGGTGTAACACCCCTCCGGCAGCTGCTTTTGGTGTGCTTCCTCTGTGTGCACCTTTCAGCAGATACCAACTAGGAAGGTGGCTGTGTCAGAATCATGGTCACCAGGCAGACTCAGTTCATAGTCCTGGAGGAAAAAGTCCACTAAGCCAATGGGTGCCTTCTTTCTGTTTTACCTTTTCTTTGGCCCTGAGTTGGTCAAACATCTCTTGAATCTCATGCTTCCAGTCATCCTGAAGGCAGTGGAAGGAGTCCTTGGGCATTTCAAAGAAACCAGACTCCTCTATGGTAGTCAGCTGGTCCAGGATACTTGTGAAAGATGGTCGTAAATGGGGGTCAGGGTTCCAGCAGTCTGAAAGGAACACATGAGGAAACAGAAAGTGTGAATGGGTGAATGGACAGAGGCAAACGGACTTAGGTTATTCTACGACCTCACTTACCAAGAAATTATCCTCTCTCCTTCCAGAAACAGATTGGAATTTAGGTAGTCCCAAATAGAACTCAGGAAATAAAGCTGAGTGAACTTCAAATCAAATGGTAGGAGTTCTGGTGTTAATTAACAACATTGAGCTCAAGGGGTTTCTGTGTAAAGTACTCTCACCACAATTCACCAAGTTAGTACATGATTCAAGTCTTGTCAATAGGTAACTACAGCTCAGCTGTCACAACTTTCAAAATGGAATGATGAGAAGTCAAATATAAAAGCATCGGAGTGGGTAAAGTGAATCTCATTCTAGCTCCATTAAGTAATGGGGTGGCAACTTACTCACTTAGCCTTGCTTGCTTTTCTTTGCTCACTTACAAAACTGTGGGATTTGACTAGATTAAGTAGAGCTGCTTTCTTCTCAGTTGTTCATTTCTATATGTAAGACACTCAGAGACCCTGAATAAGGGCCAATTTACCTTATTTTGTTATTACTAATAATAAGATACTAAAGCAGGCCTTAGTTACTAAGTTAACACTACAGTCACTGGAGATGAGGTCCCTCCTGGAACTGCTACAGCAGGGTGTTGCCATCGTTTTGAAGTAGATCTTCTAAATGCCCATAGGACTCCTCCTCAAGAGAAAAATACTTTTTCTCCTCTTTCTAAAACTGATCTAATGATATCGGCCAGCATCTACCAAGTGCTATAAAAGGGTAAGTTGTCCCCTGTTTTGTGCAAGAGAGGGTTTACTTACCTTCCATTAGTTTGGCAAAAGGTTCTGGGCATGTAGAAGGAATAGGAAGGGCAAGTTTGTTCATGGCCACTCCATAAGCCACCGCTAAGCCATCAATGCCACGGAAGGGCACCTCCCCGGTCAGCAGCTCCCAAAGCAGCACCCCATAGCTAGGGAGAGGAAGATAGACACCATATAATAAGCCAAAGGGGCAACCTCAGTGCAACAGCTTGTGTGTCTCCCCATTACACAGGGAAACTAATGAAACAGATGTACTGATATAATAGAAAAGAGAAGCCACAAAGCCTACTAGTGAAAAGCAAAAACTCTGCAGTCAAGCACACTTGGTTCCAAAGTCTTGATCTATCACTCCCCGGTCATTAGACTATAGAGAAATGTCTGTGTTCCTCTAAGCCTTCAATTCTTCCTCTGCAGAGAACAAATAACACTATCATTTTCAAAGGGCTGTCATAAAATCAAATGTTACTAAGGGTTTAAATAATAGCTAAATGGCCACAGCTTTTTTATTATTGTTACTATAGAAGAGGTAACCATTCAAATAGAAGTTTTTTCCATTTTTTAAAAAAAACTTCGGCTTTCATCACAGATTTTTTGGGGGGTGGGTGTTAGAAAAAGCAAAGAACTGACCATTCAAAAGAGATTTTGCTCTTGTGCAAAGTTCCTTTATACACCTATACATCTACCAGGTGGTACAGATTCCTGCCCCAGACCAGTGCAAATGGGTCCTTAGGAAGACCTCTAATTCAAGTGGAAAGGTTCTCAAGGGGAGCACGCTGGGCTAAGGCAGCATATGCATCAGGTGTGACAACTTTGGCGTGCCTTCCCAACCTTTCAAGTCTACATAAAGAATTTGTCATGTCCCGTGAGTCGAAAATGTGGAGTACAAAGTTTACTGAAGAATTATCCTATGAATTCACAATCAAAGCCACCAATCCTCCCAAGAGTAAGTCAGGACAAGAAACTATAAGGCTGTGAACAATCAGAAGAATGGTGCTCATATTTTCAATACCAACCTCAAATTTCTTGTAATAGTCATCAATTCTGCGCAGCTAGCAGCAAAGGCCATTTTAATTGAAAAAAAAACCTCAGTATCTATTTATTGTGATACCCTATATGAACAGAGTACTAAGGCATTTTACAAACATCATCTGAGATCCCAACACCAAGCCTGTGCAGTAAGTATTATCACTATTTGGCAGATAAGAAAAGCAAGGCTGAGACAGGTTTAGCAGCATATATATGATGTACCATGGGGTACATCATTGAGAGGCCCTGGGCCAACCCACAATTCCTTCTCTCTAGAATGTTGTTCTACCATTCCTATATTTGGCAAATGCTAAGCATTTTTCAACATCCAACTCAGATATCCCACCATATGTTCATTCATTCATTTTAGGATTTTTTTTTTTTTTTGGTACCAGGGATTGAACTCAGGACCTTGCACTTGCGAGGCAGGTGGCGGAATCACTGAGCTAAATCCCTGGCCTTCATTCATTCATTCATTCATTTTAAACATCTACTAAATATTTATCAGGCATAAAGCTCAATGCCAGGCACTGAGAAATAGGATAAAAGACACAGATCAGCAAACAGATTAGTAAGACAGAAAAGACAACAGGTGAAATACAGACATGAGTCATGATAAGAAAGACTAGGACACAAAGAGGACCTTCTAAACCAGGCAAGGATAGGAACAAGAGATGGTCCTTGAGCTAAAGCCTTGGCTGCTAACTGAAGGAAGAGCCCCAGACCTCCAGACAGGGGGCAGGATGCACAGAGACAAGTGATCTAGATGAGTCTCTAGAGTAGTCTAGAAACAGGTGGACCAGAGTATGGGTTTGTTTTCAAAGCATCCCAAGCAAGTTAGCTTGGTTCCAAAGAAGAGCAATGTGTCACCCAGTATGCCAGGGCCTACATATGGGCCCTCACGGTGGCCTGGCCAGTCTCCCTGGACCATGGATTTTCCCTGCTAAGGCTTCCAGAGATTATCATCTTCATGTTGACAGGAAATGGAGAGCTGCAGGTCTTAACTTGTTTAGACAAGATCTTAAATTTTAGCTGGTGGCTGGACATCTTAAGAAGCTTTCTCAGGGCTGGGGATTCAGCTCAGTGGCACTGCGAATGCCTCACAAGTGCAAAGTCCTGAGTTCAATCCCTGGTACCACCCCCCCAAAAAAAGAAGAAGAAGAAGAAGCTTTCTCTACTATCTTCTTGTTTGGGATCCCATGTATTGCAGTTGTTTCTTTGCCAGAGTATGGACTCCAAAAGAACAGCTACAGCAGTTTTAAACCTTTGCATTCTCATGGCTTGGCCCAGTACACAGTAGATGTACACAAATATGAGACTGGTAGTAGGTGAGGGACTGTCCACACCTACAGGGTCCTACAGGCTGCCCTGGGTGGGCCACAGTAAACCTCAGACACCATCAAGAACTGTACTGCTGCACTTCCTACCCAACCTTTCCTGTGACTTATCAAGATGGTTGTCACACTGGGCAGCTTCTACCTGGTGACCTCAAAGAACCCTCAGCAGTGCTGATTAGACTCCTGGGTTAGAGCTATTCTCATCCTTAGTTGTCTCTTTTTGGCATCAATGCCCACTTATGCCCTGGAGAACAAAAACCAAAGATACTATAGTTCCTGCCTTCCATCTAGGCCCAGATGATTGGTTTCTAAACACTAAATACCTGGAAAGATAGTGGAGGAGTGTTTCAAAGACACAGACATGCCCTGTTTGTGTCCTGGAAATCCCTGTGACAGTTTTCACACTGCGCCCTGAGCTCTGGCAGAGACATCTCAGACCACTGGGAAACAGGAGCCTGAGATGCTACCCTTTGCAGCTTCAAGGAAGGCAGATTTGCTCTTTGTTTATGTGCATTCTGTTCTATCTGAAGGGTTCTACAGCTAGGAGAAGTGTAAGGCCTGCTGTTCAACTGCCTCAGAAAAAACCCGAAATGCCTGCATTATCACTTGCCAGCCACCTGCCCATAAGGAAGGTCACCTCTCCAAACCCGTTTTCTCATCCAAACAAAAAGACTGCAATAACTAACTGCCTCCTACGATAGTTACAAGAAATAAGTAACAACAGTCATTCCTCTTGTACAGATTGCCATCTATGGCTGGTAATGTGTGGTTTCTACTCCAAAGGGCCTGAAATGAAGAAGTGTCTGGGGAGGGAAAGGTACTGCTCAGAACACCTGGGGACAGCCTTGAGTAGGGACACTGACTTAGAAAAGTAGCTACTCTGGAAATAACTAAACCCTTCAGTCTTCCTGTGTCAATGTCCTCTTTAGTTTTACAATGGAAGGTGGGTGACATAAATGAAGACTTGGTATATCTTAATCAAGAAGAGAATCCCAAGAAAGAAACTGAAAAATACAAAGTAGGTGGATGTGAGCACCAGGAGCAGGCGGGCAGAGGTCAGTGTGATTTAGCCCAGATTCAGTCTACTTTCTTGTCCTCCCTGGTTTGAAAGAAGATGAAAATTCCTTTCAAGACCATTTTCAAGCAGCCTGGAAGGGCCAGTTCAGCTTCATGTGTCCTTCCCAGCCTTAGCAAATTTATCCTGGGTTGATAATTAATCACTCCCAGAGATTTAATAGCCCCTTAAACAATGGGGGGGGTTGGAAGTGAGGAAAAGATAAGAGTGGATAACAACCCTTCCAAGTCAAAGACACAGCAGCACCTGTTCCAAGCCAGAGCTAATTCTTATTAACCTGTGTCATCTCTAAGGCTTCCAGCTTGGGATCATCTTCTGAGAGGATAGGATTCCTCCTTCATTCCCCTTGAATGAAGTAGGCTGGGGAATCACATGCACTTGGTAATCATCTGTAACCCCATAATTCAGGAACCACACTGACTATCAAATCATCTTTGGCAAAGATAATAAAGTAATATATGTGCAATTACTTTGTAAATTGTAAAGTAACATACAATTATTACTCTGGTTACTTAACTCATTCAAGGTGATATATTTATTAACATAACATACGCAGTGCATACATTAATACATTTATTGATAATAATATATTCATTAATGTGGTAAAAAAAATCCATGCTATATTACATTTCAAAAGCAGCTTATTAAATAGATTTCACCCTAAAAAATGGGTGGATGTGCACATGGATAAGAGTAAACAAAATATTATAGGTTACCTCAAAAAGTAGGTTTAGGGTAATTTCCTTTTCTTCTGTTTTTTGTTACCTATATTTCCTAATTTTTTTTACAGAGAAAGTTATGTTTTATATATGCATATACATGTATATATATAAAACATACATATACACACATATAGAGAGAGATTTCTATTTATATAGAAATGTAATTGTGTATATAGATATACAGGTATTATCTCTATCTACCTTTTTTTTTTTTTTAAGATATGGTCTTGCTCTGTAGCCCAGGCTGGCTTTGAACTCACAATTTTCCCCACTTCAGCCTCCCAAGTGCTGGAATTATAGGTGTGCACCAACATACCCAGCTTATTATTGTGATATTTTTTAAGCTTAAAATGACTAAGAAAATGGCACTACCTCATCCCATACACAAAGGTAAGAAGCCCTTAATGCCCTTGGTAGTCACCACTGCTCTCCCTAAATAAAACAACCCCAGGGAGAGAGTTTAGCAATTACTCTTCTTGAGGAAGTCCCCAACCCAGACAAAATAAGAAATTATTTACATAGACTAGGATCCAGGAGACTATCATATCACCTCTATCACAGCATGTGTAGGAGACCCACAAAACCACACAGAGCAGAAAGACAATCTCAGCTGGCTAAACCCCTGGCAACAGCAGGGGTGCAGAGGCTCCCCACATCCTGGATGAGAGGAAGAAAAATGGGACCAGACTCACCACAGTACCAGGCACACAGTAAGCATTCAACGAACAGTTCTTCAATGAGTAAATAAATTACAAGTCATTTTGGGAACCGGCTTTGTACCAAGATCCTAGGTATGTGTTGGCTGTCACGGGGATACCCTGCTGGGTCTAAGGCATGGCGGGGCCATCATTCCGGAAGAGGCTTCCCAAAGTACAGGGTTGGAATATAGTTGGTGACATGTTACCAGTGTCAAATACTGCTGTATGTATACTGAGGGCACACATTTTCCTTTGGTAATTTCTGGAGCCATTTGGATGAGTAGGCTTAAAGAGAGAGGGATTAAGGCCCATGCAATGGGTTCAATAAGTTATGTCTTGAAGGAAATATTGCAGGATGCAAGGTAAGAAAGTTGGGAGAAAGCAGACAATTATGTTTCCAAACCACATTCATCAACCAAAGTAGGTTGGACAATTCTAAACTAGAGGCTCCACTAGCAGACCATGTGACAATATCCAAGCTGCTTCACCCAAAGCACTGTTGATTTAAGGTTTGCCTCTGAATCATTCTCTTTATAGAGTCAAATAATTTTATGAGATGCCTCTTACCACAGTCTCCTCAAGCCAACTTTCAGGATTTGAAGCTGAAGGACAAGATGTAGACATTAGTTTTGGAAGAAGGACGCTTTGGGTAAAAGATGAGGGGTTTGTCCTCTACGAGAGGAGCAAGGCAGGACTTTTCAAATTTTGCCCCAAATATCCTTGTTGTGACTTGTTCCTCTCATGGAGGACAAACTCTTGCAACAGCCTTGTACTTCCCTGCCTGACATGTCTGTCGCTATAAGATCCTACATTTGGCATTTCTGCTTTCCCTTCCCACAGAGAATGTGTCAAATACCTGAGGTGATTCTGTTCAAATCATCACCACGAAAAACTCGGGAATGTGTGAGAATAAACAGCCTAAAATATTTCAGGGTCAAGCAAAAGAAGTCTAACAGAAATACTGGAATAAAAAACAAGCATGTTCCTTTCTTCCTGCCTTCCTATGAAGAAAGTAAGAGAAAGTCTAGTGCACTAAATGGCTATGATTTGGGGGGATAATCTGGATGATCTCCCCAGATCTACTACTCCCATCTTCCACAGTAAAGAGTTTTAGCTGGACAGAGTTGTCCGGCAAAAGCCTACATTTGTGTTCCTCCCTTGGAGCCAGACGTGCCCGACATAACCAAGTACAGCCAACCAAGTATGCACAGAAGAGATGTGTAACTTCTGTCTTCAAATTAAAAGCAAACTGCTTTCTATGAATAAGCTCTCTTTCTCGTTGTTTGCATACTGTAATACAGAAGTAACAGTCACTCAGATTTAACCATTGAGATAAAGATAACGCACAGAGAAGGAACCTGAGAAAACCTGGGTTTCTGAATGATCCTGTGGGCATAGCTGTGCTGCCAGCCTTGACTGGCTGGACTTCTTGAAAGAGAAATGTGCTGGTATCTTATTTAAGCCTTCAGATCTGTAAGGCTCCTTGTAATATCAGTTTATCTTAATTAATATATTAATCTCATTAACATATGGTCAAGCAATTAAAGCATTACATTGAAATAAAACTGCTAGGTTTTTTTCTGTTTTGAGATAGTCTCATTATGTAATCCAGCCTGGCCTTGAACTCACTGTGTGACTCCAGGCTGGCTTCGACCTTGAAATGTTCCTGCCTCAGCCTCCCAAATGCTGGGATTCCAGACACTCACCACCACCCCCAGCTTGAAACTGTTGTTTTTAAAGATCACAAACAGTTGAATATCAGAATAGAGATCAACCTAATGAGACAAAGTCAAATCTTTTAAGGATAGAAAAAACTCCTTTTTACTAGCTCTTTCACTCTACAATCAATACCTGGTGAAATGAAATCAATATATAGACACTATAAAATAACATAGAAAGAAATTAAAAGAGAGCTAAATAAATGGAAAGACATACCAGGAGCAGTAGGCAGAGTTCAATGCGATTTACCACAGATTCAGTCTACTTTGTTGCCCTCCCTGGGTTCATGAATTGGCAAACATTGCTATTAAGATGTCAGTAGTCCCAAAGTAATCCACAGATTTAACACAGCTTCTCTCAACAATCCCAGCCATTTATTTTGCAAAAAGTAACAAAATGATGCTAAGATTCATAAAGAATCAAAAGGAACTCAGAATGCCTAAAATAGTGTTGCAAAGAACAAAATTGGAAGACTCACACTTTCTACACTTGACCTTAGCCAAAAGGCCAAGAAGTGATAAGACACACTTTCTAATTTCAAAACCTACTACAAAGCTACAATAATCAAGAAAGGGTGGTACTTGCCTAATGATAGATATGGATTAATGGAACAGACTTATAAATCCAGGAATCAGCCCATACATTTGTGGTAAACTAATTTTTGACAAAGGTGCAAGACAATTCAATGATAGGAGAATGACAGTCTTTCAATAAATAGTGCTGGGACAACTGAATAGATACAGTTTAAAGATATTATAAAGTTTGACCCCTACCTCTCACCAAATGAAAAAGTAAATAAAAACGGATCAAAAAACTAAATGTAAAAGCTAAGATTATACTATTCTTAGAAGAAAACATAGGTATAAATCTTCATGACTGTAGATTAGACAATGGTTCTTAGATATGACATCAAAAGTACAAGCAACAAAAGCAAAAAACAGATAAATTACACTTCGTCAAAACTAAAAACATTTGTGTTTAAAAAAAACACTAATGAGGGTCTGGGGATTTAGCTTAGTGGTTCCAGTGCCTGCCTCGCAAGTGCAAGGACCAGAGTTCAATCCCCGGTACAAAAACAAAGCAAAACAAAAAAACAAAAACAACACTATCGAGGAAGTAAAAAAAAAAATACAACATAGAGAATGGAAACAATTGTAAGTCATATAGTTGATAAGGAATTTTTTCAATTCTACAAACATTTCCCCAGAGAAGATATACAAATGGTTAATAAAAACTGGAAAGATAATTAACATCAGTAGTTATTAGGGAAATACAAATGAAAACTACACACAGACTAGGATGGCTATAATCACAACAGACAATAACAAGTGTTAAAAGGATGTAGGATACTGGAACCTTCATATGTTGCTATGGGAATGTCAAATGGTGCTGCTGTGATGAAAACAGTTTTCTGGTTCCTCAAAACATAAAATATAGAATTACCATATAACTTAGCAATTCTACACTTGGGAGTATATCCAAGACAACTGAAAACATATATCCACAAAGAAAAACTTGTACACAAATGTCCACAGCAGCATTATTCATGAAAGACCCAAAGTGAGAACAACCCAAATGTCCATCACGCAATGAATGGATAAACAAATGTGGTCTATCCACATAAAAGGATACTATAAACTGTAAAATAATGGATTTCTAATTATAAGGTGCAATATGGATGAGTCTTGAAAACATTACACTAAATGTAAGAAGTGAGACACAAAAGAACATATACTGTATGATTCCATTTATGTGAAATGCCCTGAGATAGAAAATATATTAGTGGCTGCCAGGGAATAGTAGGATGGCAGACTGAGGAATGACGATAATTGGGGTTTCTTTCTGGGGTAAGAAAAATGTTCTGGAAATACATAATTGTTGCAGTCGGTTGAATAGTGGCCCTAAAAAGATATGCAGATGTCCCAGTGTCTGGATTCCTTATTTGGATTAGGATCTCCCCTAGAGTTTCAGGAGGGTATGGCTCTGCTAACACCCATTTCAGATTTCTGGCCTCCGAAACTATGAAAGAATACATTTCTCCTGCTTTTACCCACCTTGTCTATATTAATTGCTATACCACAGTACCCCAAGGAAGCCAGTAACAGTGGTGATCACTGCTCTACTTTATAAGCATATTAAAAAAAAAATCACTGAAAAAAAAATCACTGACTTAAATACATCACAGGGTAAGCTTTATGGTGTGTGAATATCATCTCAATAAGGCTATTATTTAAAGAAAAGCTATTGCCTTGCAAGCTTAAGGTCCTGAGTTCGATCCCTGGCACCAAAAAAGGAAGAAAATCTATAAATACACACATATCCATCCACACAGATGCTCCCTTTACAATACATCAAGGAAGCACTGACTTCACAGACTAATGTATACCAAGTGATGTATCTACTGTTCCACAGCCATTCACTCTCAAGGGGGACAGAACTTTATAGATCTAGGACCCTGTGACCTCTGGGGCTGACATTTACTAGGAGGAGTGGTTATTTGCAGTCTGTAGCTCTGTAGTTCTCGTGGCATGCTTGGGACTCGTCTTTTGCCGTTTCTACATCAATGTCACCAAATACAGCTTTGAGTAAAAGATTAACTAGATAATTGGAAAGTATTATTTCTAAGCCATCACACATCCCCCCCCACACACAATAGCACAAAGAATATTCACTGGCTCAGGAACTCATACAGAGGACACTGGTTTGGCCCCTCTCCAAGTCCAGCAGTAACAGCCACTGGCGCCCTAGCACTGCTGCTGAGCAAACCAAGCAGAAGCTGGGGGAGACTTCCAGGAGTCACTGAGTCTCTCACCATCATACAGGTCAGACAAGAGAGCACATGGTACCTCTGGAACCTACTGGTCTCCCGTAAGGAGCACTCTCCAACACAAAGGGGCCCGCACAGAAGTGGTTACTTGCCACAGACTCGAGGAGTTTTTCTTTGTACATGAAAGCACAGGAAACTGTTCCACGGCAATGTGGCAATTAGCAGATTGCTCTGAGGGGGTTACTTAGACTTAGGGATTCCTAGGATTCTATGTGATCTCAATTCTCCAAGTGCTAAAACATGTGTGTGGCCAGACACCTGTGTACACTGCTCCTGCACCTCTGGACCTTACCTCCACACATCACTGCCTTTGGAAAACATGGAGGCACGAATGACTTCAGGTGCCATCCAAGCATAGGTGCCTGCAGCGCTCATCTTAGTGGTTCGGTGCCATTCTCGAGCCAGGCCAAAATCAGTGATCTTCAGAATCTTGTTGCTCAGGTCTCCATTCTCCACCTTCTGCAGGATCAATACTGGGCAAGCAAAAGAACACAGAAGAAGAGCCTGCATTAATCACAGGGACACCATGGAGCCTTCCTGCCATCTTCCTGGCCTCTCCTATAGGATTCTATAGCTCTGTTATCATGGGATGATCATAAAAGCCATCATTTCCCAAACACCTTCAATGCATTCATTTTTGTGCCACATACTTAATTGATAATACCTGTAATAAACCACCTTACAAGGTAAATACATAGGTTGAACATCCCTAACCCAAAAACGATTAAAGGGTACTAAACCAGCATTCTACACAAATGTTTCTAAATCTTAAAACAACCCAAAATCGGAAACACTTCTGGTCCCAGGCATTTAAGATATTGGATATTCAGCTTATCCTGCTTTATAGATGCAGAAACTGTGATAACAGCACTGTAAAACAGATTCCCAGTTAGCCAAATAAGATGCCAGCACTGAATCCCAGGCAGCCTGATCTCAGAGCCTGTCCTCTTCACCCACAGCCCACCCATACCTTGTGAAGGATGAGCTGTGAGTCATAGGTGACCTTCTGAGGAGAAGCTACTTGGACCTCCCACCTGCCAGGGCACCTCTAGGTTTTATCCACTCATAGAACACAGAAGCTACAGGTACATGTTGGATTATAAAGGTTTCTAAAAATATTTGGACAATATTTACCAATCTTTTCATGTTACTTTACCATTTTTTTTTTCTTTTTACAGTATCAAGGATTGAACTCAGGACCTTGTGAGGCAGGTGTGGTGCCACTGAGCTAAATCCTTGGCCCTCCCTACCTAACTCTTAAAATAGCATGCCTCTTTGGCTCTGGAGATTTCCACAGGATTCAGAAACTCCCCTCTACCCACCGGGAATTGGCTGAATAAGTTGGTGGGATCAGAGATACACACTGTTCACCACGATGCTCTCTGTGAAACATCCCAGGAAGGAGGAACTGATTCACTGCAGAAATTATACTCTGGGCTCAAACTAGTACCAAACACTAACACCAAAGCACTAGAGTGTGGAAGCCACCCTGGTTCTCCTAGAGCAGCAGCAGAGGCAGCTGCCTCACCCCCTTGATGATTCCAGGGATAAATATGTCCTTCTGGGAGCCAATCTGGCTAAAAGGACCAAAGCCAGTAACAACTAATGGGGTATAAGGTGACCAAGAAACTATGAGGGGACAGGAAGTGAACTCTCTGAATATATGGACGCCCAGTCTCCATTTTCACAAGTGGGATGGTTTCAAAGAGGTTATTCTCTGTGCAAGCATAACCTCTTGGGGGGCCAGACAGGGTCACCTGGAACTTCACAACTCTGTATGCAAGATTTCAGACCAGGAAGGAAGGTTCCCTCTTCATCTCTGCTTTCAAGTCCAATGGCAAGAGTGGCATTATTCTGAAGACAGAATAACGAGGGAAAATGCTGATATAGCTGTACCCAGGCAGTTCTAACCATGGAAAGGAAGAAACTGTTAATGCCTGTATATGCCAGGTTACCCCAGAAAGCTACTACGAGCTCTGACATCCCTTCCTCCATGGGTTGTCTATTTGATGGTGTACCTCTACTTTTCAGAGGTATTTGCATCAAAAGATGCTCTTCCACATCTAAAGAAAGCAATTTTTGATGGTGGTACTTCTGGGCGCACATTTTAGGGCAGGAATGGAAGCAGGTGGCTCTGGTCACACATTCATACTCTTCTTTGCCTCCCCCAACTCCCACTGCCATGTCCACTGAATTGTTACACACTGCAAGGATGTGAACCAAAGACCTCTATGTCCCATGTGCTTTTCAGAAAAGGAGCAGCACAGAGGAATTACTAGCAGCTATACAGCTGGAGGCAAAAACAGCCACTCCCTGGCCCTAATGGACCAAGCCTCTTTCTTCCACACCCTCCCCGATCCTGACACACTCCTCCCTATCTCAGGCTTCCAGCATCCCAACGGGTGCTGGCCTTCGAATACTTAGGCATATTTTTAAGAAAAAAGGGACAAAAACTTCCTCTGTCTCATCTATTAACAAAAAGTCTTTCTAGAGTCTTCTGTGGCAGAGATAAGCGGACAATTCAAATGGCCAGGGAAGTGACACTAAGGAAACCACCACTCCCACCTCCTCAGCAGCCACCAGCCACTGCTGTTTCTCTGAGCAGCCCATAAACAGAACCCTTCCTCTTCCATACTTTACGGAGCTCAGTCCCGAGCACAATGCGGAGAAGGATAAAGGTTTAGTGCATCAGCCTGTGGGATGGCTTTTAAAAGGGATGAGAAATGATGGGGCAGGAGTAGCCTGAATGGCCAGCCTGAATGGCAGGTCTTTAGATGGTAGCTCAGGTCCCTGAAAGCACCTGATTTAGGAATCCCAGGCCGAGGGGTCTTGCGCTCAAGAAAGAAAGCTGCAATCAGAAGCCAGCTAGAAATTTTGGCAAAGGGCCACTGGCAACAGTGTTCTGAAATACTGACATCTACCATGCATCTTTTACTGCTAATAATTAAAGCACCAGAGTGTGGAAGCTCTACTTTTGTTTTGTAGACTTCTTTTCTTTGATTGAGATGAAATCTGAATAACATAAGATTAACCACTTTAAAATGGACAATTGTGTCATTTAGTACATTCACAATGTTATGTACCACCACCACCTCTATCCAATTCCAACACATTTCATCACCCTCAAAAGAAGCACAAACCCTTTAAGCAATTATTCCCCATCCTCTCCTAGGAACCACCAATTTATCTTCTTTGTTCCTATGGATTAACCTGTTCTTAATATTTCATATAAATGAAATCATACAGTATGATATACCTGGTTATCTCACTTAAAAGTTTTCAAGATTTATCTACAGCATTGCTTAGACCACAACTACATCCCTTTTTATGGCTGAATAATAATCCATTATGTGTGTGCGTGTGTTTATACTCCAATTTATTTATACATTTGTCTGCTGACATCTGGGTTGCTTCTACTTTTCAGCTATTGTGAATAGTGTCGCTATGAACATATGCATATTATTTTCAGTTTCGAGGGATACAATTAGTGGTACTTCTGGGCCACTATACATCATATAGTTATTCTGTTTCTCTGAGAGACCACCAAACTGTTTTCCATAGCAACAGAATAATTATACATTTCTAAGAGCAGAATATGAGGGCTCCAATTCCTTCACATCCTCACTAACAGTTATTTCCACTATTGTTATCCTAGAGTATGTGAAATACTATCACACTCTGGCTCAGATCTGCATTTTTTCTAACGGACCAAGGCTACCGAACATCTTTTCATGTGCTTACTGGCCATTTGTATATTTTCTCTGGAGAAATGTCTGCTCAATCCTTTGCTGATTTTTTAAGTGGGTGGCTTATCTTTTTATTGTTGCATTATAAGAGTTACTGATATATTCTGGATACAAGACTATCATCAAATAATTTGCAAATATCTTTCCTGTTAAATAGGCTATCTTTTCACTTACTTATTAATCTCCTTTGTGGTTCTTTTTTTTTGGTGGGGGGGAGGGGGGTACTGGGGATCAAACTCAGGACCTTAGGCTTTTGAGGCAGGTGGCAGCATCACTGAGCTAAATCCCTGGCCCAATGATAATTTTTTTTGGTGCATAAGATTTTTAAATTTAGATGAAGTTCATTTCATCTATTTTTTCTTTTGTTGTTCATGTTGTTGGTGTAAATCTAAGAATTCACCAATGTGATGGTTGGTTGTGTTAACCTGAGTAAGAAAAGCTCAACTACACTGGCTCAACAATTCCACACCTACGGACGCGCGTTGCCTATTTGCTACAAAGGGGAAATGAAGAAGGACGGATCTGCTTCTGGTCCTTTGGAGGTACTCCAGTCTTCAGCTTCACCCTGGATGTCATCTTCTGGCTTCCAGCACAGACTTTCAGCTTCTGGCGCAGACTCAGCCTTCCTGCACAGAACCATGGGCCTCCCGATACCAACTGGCAGGGGAATTGCAGTGAGCTCCAGACCTTCAACTGGATCCTTCAAATCACCAGGGTGCTGACAGACCCTCTGCCCTCTTCCTCATCCAACTTTGTGGGTGGGTACTGTAAGCCGATCTCATAAGTTCTTATATATGTGTAATATCTTGTATTATATCTATTTTTCTAATAAACACTGACTGATGCAACTGTCAAACCCAAGGTCATGAAGATTTACTTCTATGTTTTCTTCTATGAGTTTTATGGTTTCAGCTCTTATACTTAGGTCACTGATCCACTTTTAGTTAATTTTTTATATATTGCGCAAGATAGGGGTCCAATTCATTCTCTGACATATGGCTATCCACGTGTCCTAGCACCATGTACTAAATGGGGGAAAGCTTTAAAACATAAACAGTATGGAGCACAGTCTTCTCCCAAAATGCTTTCCAGAACAGGAGAGAAAGGTTATTTTTACAGCAGTTTGTGCATCTGTATCTCTGTGAAACCTTGTAAACTTCTACCACTGACAAACAGCTGCAAAAGTAAATTACTGTGCTTTCCCATCTTGGCGAAGTGCAAGTGGATTGTGTAGACCTCACCTCTCATGTGTAAGGCAATGGGAAAAATACTGAAAATAATGAATGATTTCAGGTCTAAGTCAATGAATGATTTCAGATCTAAGGGCCAGGCCAGCATCAGGGCAACAAAGAGGAAAAGATGTATTTGAACTAAAGACCTGATAATTAACCAGATATAGGGACTTGATGGAGTAGGGAAAGGTCTCTAGACTTTCAGGGTAACAGGAACAGTAGGAATGCTATGGGGAAGTTGAGAGAAAAAGGACATTTGAGGAAGCTGAGTTCAGTTTTGGACATAATAGGCCTAGGTGATAGTAACAACAGTCAGTACGGAACAGGAGGAGGAAAAAGCATCCTATGCCTTACGTCCTATGCCTGATACTATGCGATCCCGGATAAATTCCACAAACTCTAGACCTTAATTTCTGCCTCTAAAAAAATGAAGATAATGACTAAAGGCAACACAGTAATAAAGCAACTCGGGGAGTACCTGGCACATAAACAGGC